TTAAACAATTATATCGAGGAAAAAAAAAAATGTCTGTTCGAATATTAATGACATTATCACTTGTACTATTAATATTACCTTTTTTATTTTCGTGTCTTGTTTCGGCTATTAATCAAAATCAAAATGATATAACTAAAGAAATAAAAAAGAAATATAATTATAAACTTACCTTTAAACAACCATATTATTACAATCACACTGTACCATTCTTTGACACATATGGGCGTAAGTTCTTCTTTCTTATTTATTTATTCAAAGTCGTGAATTTATTTCGTTCATATTTATATATTGTCTGAACAAATCGTAGATACTTTACTTGCGCCTGAATTCATTAGATTAGCTCCTAGTGTACCAAAACATTCTGGGTCAATATGGGCTCAATCGCCAAATCCTCATAAAGAATGGGAAGTGGAATTTTCTTTTAGAATTTCAGGGAATTACTTTCTTGGTGGTCGAGGAATGGCATTTTGGTATACAAAAGAACAAAGTAAAGAAGGTTCGTTGTTCGGGTGTAGTGATAAATGGGATGGGTTGGCGATTTTTTTCGAAACAGTGGATCATGTTAGAAAGGTGAATTATTTCATGCATATATATATGCTGGCTAATTGTATATATACAGTATATTTTTTTAGTACACTTTCTAAGTTATCATTCGTATATTTCGAATAGCGTGATAATCCTTATATAATGGCACATGTCAATGATGGCTCTATTTCCTATAACAGCATCATGGATCCTTTTGCTGTTAAAATGACTGGCTGTTACCGAATGCTTCGTAATACTCCAAATCCAATATTTGCAAAAATTACTTACTATAATAATACTCTAAAGGTAATTTCTATTTTAATTTAACATTATTTTATTTAATTATTCTAGAATTATTAGATTTTATATATATATTTTTTTTGATAGTTGATGGTTGATACCAATGATGGAGGCAAGTCTTACAACGTTTGCTTTTCAAAGTATGGGGTGTCTTTACCACCAGGATATTATTTCGGAATTTCGGTGAGTTACACATTAACATCAAATATTTCAACATTGACTCTATGATCGTTTCTAAATTCTTGTATACCATTTAACATATACGTATATCGGCAGGCTTCTGCAGAAGGGGTTACACCAGGTACTAAAAAAATGATAATGGGATATAATAATGGATCCGTTGACATTATAATTAATTACATTTATTATAATTTATATGATCAGATGATCATGATATTCTTTCCTTCGAAACATATGAATTAAATCCTATTGACAAAAGTGATGTAAGTTATTACTCCTTTTCTTTTTTACACCATATTTTTATTTTATATTTTGTGATATACATTTTAAACATGTTACAAATATAGAGACCCTTACGCCCTCATGAAGCTGAAAAAGTAGCAAAAGCACCATCAGAATCATTCGAGATACCAGAAAATGTTAAACAGGTAAAAAAAAAAAAAAGGACGACAAAAACTAAATTAAATTTAATATTAAAATATAAAATATTAAATTTACACATCCATCTATATTATCAGCGAATTGAAAATATTCAAAAGATAGTATCAAAATCTGAAGATTCTCAAGATATGCGTGAAAAAGGAAAAGGAGATCCAAGAAATCTTGATTTTATAAGAGGAATGCAAATCAAGATACTTGAGTCACTTGATAGGGTACATGAACAATTACGTATCTTAGGTGTTAGTCCGAAAGGTAGTGATAATTATTATAGTGACACAAGCAAGACAGAAAGTCAACTGGTCGCTGTTTCGTAAGTTCTAAGCTCAAGAGACACTTGTCAGTACGTAAATGTTCTTCTGGTTTTTATGAACTTGTTCCTAAATATACCTGATTTTTGTTTTGTTTTGTTTTCAAATATAGACAAAAATTAGATAAAATTATTTCAAGTATCTCATCCCTAGAAGCAAGAATATCTCGAATTCCTTTAGATGGAGGTAATGATCATGCAATTAGGGATTTGAAGGAAGACGTGCAACGCATAGCGAGCAAAATTGAATCTTTAGACGTGAGTTTTTTATTTCGCTCCTTTTATTTTTTACTAATTCATTCATTGAAACATCCATTGAAACATTCATTGAAAAATTCATTGAAATATATTAATTAGACTCGAATCGCTGGACAATTCTATCAAACACAAAGAAGTTTTCATGATGCTGCTAAACTTCGAGATAAAGATTCATCAACTACGTCAATATGGATATATTTAATTTACTTTACTTTATTTGCAATTATAACCATCGGTGCATATATATTATACCAAACAAAAATGGAATTGGATCAAAAGAAATTTATTTGAACGTTACAATTTATAAAATTTAGCTTACAAGGTTTAAAATGATTTAAATGGCAATAATAATTCATATTAAATTGATCGCAAAAAAGATAGATGTTGGATACATTCATTCCTTTTTTTTTTTTTTTTTTATTACGCCAATAGACGACGAACCATTAATGAGAACAAATATCGTTTTTATAAGTTACATTACATGATAGTTATAAATGTATTTAGTTAAAGAAATTTTGATATTTATTAATCGCTGCCAATTTTTTTTAAGTTTTCCATTTTGGTTGTTTCGACTGGTGATCTATTATTTGCAAGGTTTACAAGGAAAAAATTAGCATGAATAGTAAAAGTAATATGTAGAGTAATATGTAAAATGTTGAAATTTTTTTTTTTTTTTTTTTTACCCGATAAATATCAATTCTTTAAGAGTGGTCGTCTCTTCGTCTCCTATATTATCCCCAATAAATAGCTATCAAAATAAAAAAATAATTAGATACAAAATTAAGTAAAATTAAACAAGTAAATTAAGAATTATGACTAGAAAAAACTTACAATAATATTCGTTACACTTTGGAACTTAACAAATCTTAACGGAATGACAGTATCTTCTTCGTAATCTTTCGAAGTCAATTGGAGTAATTGTGTTTCCTCAGTAGAATCCGTTTCATCAAAAATGTTTTAAACTCCCAACAACAATAACCTAAAACTACCAAAAACAACCCAAACCCACAAATAACAATCTAAAATTACCAAAAATATCTTAATACAGACATACAAAAAACACAATAAAGCATTAAGCAACTGCGACATCGATCTTTAATAATAATAATAATAATAATAAAAAAAAAAAAAAAAAATTTAATTAACTATTTGGTCATTTTGTCAAATTTAGAATTTTGATATTTCAACAAAAAATAATATCATATTAAAATATATTTCAATACAAAATTCTAATTGATTTTAATTAGTAGCTTTGTTGTTAATTGATTCTAATTAGTATCACTGGTAATTGACAAGGGTGTTACTTATTAATTGATATTTCTTTTTGTTAATTAATTGCAAACCAATTTAAATTTTTTTTAATATTAATATAATGAGTAGTAGTGTATTGTTGCTAATAAATTTCATATTAGATTTATCAACCAAATTCATGTCTTAATCAAATTCATATAATCTATTATTGATAACTTGCTATCTGGTAATTGAATTTTGATGATTTTGATACTATTTGAATCCTTTTACTAAAAAGATTCTAATAGTATCAAAATCACCAATATCGAATTACTAGATCATGGTTGGTCGACAAATCCGATATTACAATTTTTTTGAAGTATAGTCAGACCTCGATATAATCACCAGGTTGGGAAACAACATTTTGATGATTATAAAAAGTTGTAACTATATAAAAATAATGTGATTATAACAAGGTTGTGACTATATTGAGAGTGACTATAACGAGGTCTGACTGTACTATAGTATTTGGACCTTTAAAAATCTTTATCTTTTTTTCTGAGTCGGCACCATTACAGCGATCAGCCTTTAAAATAAAATCATAGTAAGCCTACTGCTGTACTGTCAAAATAAATGTTGAACAAAAAAAAACAAACGAACTATTACTTTAAGCAATCAAAAAAGTATCGTCCACTCCCAAATGTTTTGAACAGTACAAAAAGTATGAAAAGGTTATACCATCTTTATCAAGTTATAATAAAATTACATAACGATAGCAACGATATCCTTTTTTCATTGAATTTAATAACTTTTATATATTATGAAATACCAAGAAATTACAAAGGATGTAGATTTTACATTAGTCTTTGTCCAGCGTTAGAAATGATGTAGAAAATAATCTAAATGAAAAATTTGTAAATCTTCGAAAAAATCATAATGTTTAAGATGTTTTAAAATTCGTACAGTATTGAACTTTCATCATTTTATACAATTTCTTCGAACAAATAAAATATCTTGTTAATTTCATAAACGGAATGCCAAAATTTCAGAATTAAGAATTGTTCCAGATGACAAGAAATAGATCCAAATTTTGATTGCATAAGCCATATGATCTCGACACTTTTCTGGATAATAAAAAAGATAATAAACATTATTTTCTTCATTTTCTTCAACTCAATGGCAAATTAGGATGGTAATTAGCGTAATTTTATGTAACGGTCAAATTAAATTCACCTTTTTTTCAATAATTATTTCGTCGACATCAGTATTTTATATACCGACAATTAGTCGACCTGTTCATTTCGTAGACAACAACCAGCTTGCCGCTGATAATAGATTCCTATAGCTAACGAGTCCTACTAATATATTTGCATCCTAATTCTTAAAAAGATACTATATAAATTAATTTGCGCTTGGTATTAATTGAATAAGTTGAGTCGCATCATCCAAAAAAAAAATTACAGGATTACGCAACTAAGATGCTTTGAGTTATAATTACGCTGACCGTGCCCTGTAAAAAATCGAGACCAGATCTTAGTACAGTATAATACCACGGTTTTGGGTCAAAAATCCAGAATCCTGACAAAAATTGACTGGAATTATGGGATTTTGGCCAAAAACCCAGTACCACGAAATTATTCTACTATTGCATAGCGTTACACGACGTATTTTCATCTATAAAATGTAGATTTGCCCTTATCAATTGATATTTTTTTACTGTCGCTGCATTTTCTCCTCGCAACATCGTTTATTAAGCATAATGAAACAAAGAAATGTGGTTACTTCTTTTCTGACCTTTTCTGAAGGCGCAGATGATTCTACTGATCAAGGAAATCGTGTTTTACTCTTGAAACGTAGTGATAAAGTTAACACTTATAAGTAAGTATTTACCCAAAAAGTTTTTAATTTACAGTATGATCAATATCTAATATTATCATTAGACATCATTGGGCAGGAATTAGTGGTGGAATGGAGGCTAACGATAGTTCACCATTGGAACGTGCTTTGATTGAAATACAGGAAGAAACCACTTTGAGTTCTTCTGATATTAAACTAATACGCATTGGTAAACCTTTAAATATTCGTGATGAAAATAATTCTACAATATGGAAAGTCCATCCATTTCTTTTTCATCTTCAGTCTGATAATATTCATAAGATTAAAATAGACTGGGAACATGAAACTTTTAAATGGATTAACCCTAAAGAATTGAGTTCTTATAATACTGTACCAAATTTGTTAGAAACTTTTTACAGAGTATATCTTCCAAATAATGTACACTTGGGTTTGATTGATATGCTTAATGATAGATCTTCTGGTGCTCAACAATTGGCAAGTAAGGCCTTAGATATTTTTTCTGAAACTATAGAGAATAAGTCATGCCACGAATATTCTCAATGTTCGAAAGATTTATATATTGCTTATCTTAATATCGGATGGCACTTGTGTGAAATAAGACCTAACATGAAGGCTTCTACATTATATGTAATAATTTTAATAATGCAACAATGTAAAAAAGGGTTGGATCAGGTCTTATCAATTGATTCATTTGATAATCAAGTTCTTAGTATCATAAAAGCAAAGAAAATACTTTCTAATGATACAGAACAAAAAATCAATTCAAACTTTATGAATGTTTTATTTCCTAAATTTGATCAATCGTTACATATTATGACAATGAGTTATTCCTCTACAATATTTTCTGCTCTCACTAATCTTATCAAAAATTATATTCAAAAAGTTTCTAAAAATTTAGAATGCTCTAAATCATTTACTATTACTATTTTGGAATCGCGACCTTTAAACGAAGGAGCAATTCTAGGACAAAAATTGTCATCCATGTTACCTCAACAAGATGAAATTGTAAATATACAAATTATTACAGACTCATCATGTGATTTTTTCATGCCGACTGTGACTCATGTCTTGCTTGGAGCTGATCGCATCTTGGGATATGATGGGACCGTAATAAATAAGATCGGATCTGTGCCATTGGCATTAGCAGCCCAACATCATGGAAAGCCAGTATATATAGTGTCACGTACGGATAAAATCGCAGGTGAATATGATGATGAAAAAGTAGAAGAAAATGAATCAAGTGAAGTTACAAAAATTTATGGTAGTCAATGGAAAGATTGTAAAAATATGCGAGTTAGAAATGTATATTTCGAAAAATTAGAATCTGATCTAATTACTGGTTATGTTTAGAGATGGGCAAGGTAATTACTTATTACGTAAAAAGTCACATCACACAACGCGACGATTCTCCAATGATATATACTTGCAATTAATAACATGCTAAATCGACACGTTATGTGAAATGACTTTTTACG